GAACACATTTCTGTCTGCAAAGAGAAACACATACTGAACAGCAAAACCTTGTGCTCTTTCCACAGTTAGGAGGAAGAACCGCCAGCACCAACTCCAGCAGCATAGGCACTGCAGTGGAAGCGTTAAAGAGCTCCTGAAGGAGGCAAAGTCTGCTAAAACAACTGAAGGTATTTTCTGTTTTGCTTTGAACACCCTCCTCATGTCTCATTGCCAGCACAGAACCCAAGTGCCCTTTCTGATAAACCATCCTCAAGCTCTCAGCCCTGAGATACAGACCAGCTTGGACACCAATAAAACCAATCAGAACGAGTTCTGTGCTCTGGAAACAAGCCAGTGGCTTTGCAGCTGCTCTTAAGACAGATTGTTAAGTACATCTTAAGGTAACGGGCCAGACTTGCACACCCCAAGGAACATTGCACCCTTCTACGGCAACAAGAGCATCACAGCTTTCACCACAAAACAAGAGGAACCCCAGAGGCCAGGTCCTGCTGCAGCCCAGCGCTGCCCCTGACACCGGAGTATGCCTGGAGGATGAGCTTCCCCTTTAAGCAGGGAGAAAGCAGCAGCAGATCAGAGTCCAGCTGCCTTTGTCTGCATTGAAAGCAGCAGATCACACGCAGCCCTTCCTCGGGCAGCGAGGCCAGGCATTAGCTTGAAATTACGGGCTCCCCGGTGAGGACTGATTGATTTTGCTTCCATTTGTTAACAACAAAGGAGCAGAAAGTGTTAGGGGGGCTGAAACACAACATGACTGTTCCATTCCTGGAGCAGGAAGCAGCCTCAAGCACATATGCATGGGGGAGGGAATACCGCGTTACAGCTTGACTCAATCCCGTCTGGTCACCATTCAGTAATGACACCATGGAGACACGTCCAGTCCCCTCCAACACCATAAGCATTTGCTTGCTGATAAATATCAATATTTAAATACTGACAGAGTACTACAGAAGTTGTATCTGAGCAAAAGGTCAGCTGAACTCAGACCACATCGCCAGCCTTATCTGCAGAACTATGCCCAAACCAGCAAGGGGATTGAACCTGCACACAGGCCCTCCTGCACCTCCCGCCTTGAAGATATTTGTAATAGCTACATTCCAAAGTGAACTGCATTGATAAATGCTCCGTCAGAGGAGCCTGCGAACCACAGTGCACCTGGAAACAGGCTGCTGCACAGGGCTTCTGCCGAGCTCAAACTGCCTTGCCTGACCTCCTGTTTCTCCAGCATCAGCCACAAACATCACACAAACAAGCACTGATTCCCTTGAAACGCAAATGAATCTCGAAGTTGTTTTGCCAAGGAACACACACATTACCAGGAGCCTTAATAAAGCTTCCTGGAACCCAGACAGACTCTGAAGAGTAACCAGAGCCAGCCTAGTACCTGCCATTTGGATATTAGTGGCACTTATTGCGGCCACGTTGCCTGAAGATGGCATCATCCGGTTACCCGAGGCTGCCCTCAGCAGACACAGGGACAGGGAAGGGAAGAACAACTCTGCTCCAGCCAAGAGCAGCGATGCTGGGAAAATCCTGCTGATGGATCACAGTCCTGTGATCAGTGTGGCTGACAGAAACCACTGCCTTTGCCCAGGGCAGAGGAACCACAAAATACCGCGGAAATCTTGCTCGTTTACAAACAGCAGCACAAGTTGTCTTTTGCTTAAGAAGCTCAACACAAAAGTGATCTTGAATCTTTGGTTAAAACTAGGTTACCAAGCATCTATTTTCCACTAACTGAAGGAGTGAAGTAACGTGTATTCCACATCACACAAATCATTGTTAAGTTGTTCTGCTGTACACAAAGAGATGTAGCATTGCTGATTCAGGGGCCAATTCAGACCCAAGGAGCATCCTTACATTCAGTTAGTGAAACAGTCAGGTCAAATGAGGTGGTACCTCCCCTCTGCTGCTGACAGTAGCTGTTTAATTTCATATTGGGTCAACCCACAGAGTTTCACTCCTTACACAGAGGAAAAGTCACCACTGAAACACAGCACAACCTTGTTCATCTGCCACTTAACTTCAGAACTTGTTCGGCTATTACGTGAATAACCACAGCTCTTCATACCAAGGCAAGTGCTCAGATGTCCACCTTTGTCTCTTACACAATGGTTTCCGCTAATTACACACGATGTTCAGTTTCTCTTAATTAAAACAGAGCCCAACATCACTCTTCCCAAAGGAGAAAGGACTGATGGAAGTTCTTGCATGGTTTTACTGCTCATTCTCATTACCTGCAGGTGCTCCAGGCAGTGCTGCTGATCTCGGAAGCACGCATGGAACTCGCACCAGTTCTGCCTTTGATGTCTTACCTTAGGATGCAAACAGCTCCAGAGAGATGCAACCTGCTCAGTGACACAGCTTCAGCCCTGCTCAAAGCACTGCCAGGAATCCTGTATCTCACAGCAAGCAGCATCCTCAAGCAAGCCATCCAGAAGCCCCCCACTTCTGCAGGGATCCCTTCCACTGGAGCAGCTTGCTCCAAGCCCCTGTGTCCAACCTGGCCTTGAGCACTGCCAGGGATGGGGCAGCCACAGCTTCTCTGGGCACCCTGTGCCAGCACCTCAGCACCCTCTCAGGGCAGGATTCTGCAAGTACTCAGCATGTATTCTGGACTCTCAGAAACAGTAGCAGCACACGCTGCCATGGTCACCCCAACAGGACCATGTTAATGAAAATCTACCTTGTAAATACTGGTGCATGAGGCATCATCTCGGATCCAACATGAGGACCATGCCCTCAAGGCTTTGTGCCCCACAGAACCTGATATTAAAGCTTCCAGCCCCCACTACTGCAAACAACAAACGCTCCTCTCACTATTCGGAGCACTGAAGACACCGAACAGGCTGCACAGATTATTTTCCAGGCCCCCTCAGCCAGATGGAGTTGGCAAAACCAGATTATTCCATCTTCAGACACAACATTCTGGAGAGTTGCGGAATTGGTAATAACTATCACTTTGATTTTCTGCCGCTTTCCGTGGCTCCCCTCCACCACAAGACAGGCAAAGCCATGTCCCACAGATCCCCACTGGAAGACCGAGGACACAGAACTACCACCTTAACCTGGAGGAAAACGTTCAGAGGCACAATGAAGGGATTAAGTTTCTCTCCACCCCCCAGGAAATAGCACTGGGTGGGGACAGGAGGGAGGGATGAACTTTTCAAACAGGGAACTCTTTTACGCTGGATTCCAGCAGGATCCCTGTGGCTCCCGCTGGCAGGATTCCCACCCGCTTCTCCTCCTTCCCCAGCAGTTCCAAACACAGACCCAGCTTCCCCATTCCCCAATTCCAAACACAGAGCCCATCACCCCCCTTCGGCCTCACTATTAACACCCACCCATGGGTGTGAAGTCTTCTCCCCCCCCCCCCCCATAGTATGTTCTAAGTTGGTGTTTGAGGAGGCAGTGATCATGTAACCAAAATAAGTAATAAAGAGGCTAAGGAAGCGTTCCATGGGAACAAACCTGTTTTAAAGGATCCCCACTGAAAGAGAGATTTTTAAAATACCTTCAGCCCTTACAAGTATTAAGATCGCTCAAACCTCCTTTGAAAGGAAAGCCTGTTGAGCCTTCCCCTATGAAGTAAAAGATCCCCACGCCTATTCAGACACAAATAGGGATCTGTTTGTCCACAGTTAATTAGTGTAAGCTTATTTTAAGCTAATAAAGAGTTCTAAAGTATAGGACAGCTAAAGAATAACATAACCCAGCGCCAGCCTCCACACTACAAATTATCATAACAGCCTTGTGAATCACTCCCCTGCACAGGGAAGTGCTGGGCACGGTGATGCTTCCACAGGAGCCGTCATCTTGTCAGAGGGGTTTGGTCAGCAGTTTACGAGCCTGAGTAGCTACATATCTTTCAAATGAGCTATTATATTCAAGTAATAGCTTCAGATCCAAGACAAACGTGCAGGAGGATTTCAAAGATAACTAATATATTAAGAGAGGACTGATAAAAGTCAGCGTATCATATTAACCTGCCCTTTTCTGCTATTCCATGTAGCCAGCGGCAAGGTTAGCAGACAGCAGTAAGCTTCGGAGTGCAACTGTCCCAGCAGACTGACAGGGAAGGATTTACTGAGAGGTCGCAATTAGAGATGATTTACCACACAAAGTTATTTCCGAGTACAGCTTCCTTCGGTTACAAAGACCTCTCTCATCTGAGGCCATCGGCAGAGATGAATGAAGTGAAAAAGAAAACCAATAAAGCCCTTTAAAGGTAGTTAACACTGCCCTGAATTTTGGAAGCCACCGAGAACAAGGCACAGCCATCTGCACCATCACAACAGTACCCGGTTGCCAGGGGCTGCAGCTCCCCCAGACCCAGTTTTAGACTGGATGCTCACAAACCCCAGGTGTGTAAAGTCACCAGCCACTCTGAGAGCTTCCTAAGCAAATCCTCCTCCTGTGCGCTGGGAGGATGGCTCCGATTTTGCCACAGAAACCGCTGATGTTGAACGAGCTCCGGGCAATGCCGTGCACACGCACCTCGGCAAGCCCCGGGGCAGGCTGCCAGCCGGAGCTCACACCGGCTCCAAGGCTCTTACGGGGTGGGGGGGAAGGTGTTAATGTCTGCCGGGCCAGACAGCAGAGCCGACGGCAGCCGGAACGTGGTTTGCTTGGCTCCCGAGGCACCGGGCACTCCGGGCAGCCTGAGCAGGAGCCTGGGGCCAGGCTGGGGCACGCTCTCCCGCCGCCTCCCCCCGACCAGCGCTGGGACAACCCCCGCACCCCACAGAGCCCACCCAGGGCTCCCCGCCCTCCCTCACCCCCGGGACCCCGCTCCACGCCTGCCCAGGGCTGGCTCCATCCGGACCCCAGGGACCCCCCAGGCCCACCCCCTCCCAGGAGCTGCGCGCTCACGGAGCCCGGCCCCTCCGCTCCATCCCCACAGGGCCCGGCCGCCGTTCCCCCCACAGGAGCCCAGGGCCCGCAGCCCCCCGGGGGTGGAACTGTGCCCCCCGCTACCCCGGCCAGGCCCCGCCGGCACCCACCGCGCTGCCCCCGATGACCGCTTCGTGCTTCTTCAGGCGGGACTTGAGGCTCTTCATGGCGGGGCCCGGGGTGGGGGGGGCGGCCGCGAACCGGCCCCGACGCGCACCCGCCGCCGCCTCCACGGCCGGGACGGGGCGGCTCCGGCCCGCCGCGGCACCCCTATCCGATGGCCCCGCCCACCCGGAACCCCACAGCCAATCACCGCCCGCCCGCGCGGGCGCTGTGGCCAATCACGAGACGGAACAGCGAGGGGAGGGACTTCCTCCTTTTAAAGCCCGCCTGAGGGGGGCGTGGCAGCAGCGGCGTGGCGGGACCGCCCACCCGGCAGGGGGCGCGCCGCGGGGCGGCCCCTCAGGGGGACCCGGGAGGCGGTGGCGGGGCCGCCGCCATCAAACCTCCCCCCCGTTAACGGGCGCTTCATCCGCGAGCGGAGCAGAGGCAGCGTCTGAAGCAGCGAAAGGAAGACCCTGGCCTGGACGGAACGTCTGAGGGGGGCAGGTCGCTGCTCGGTGCCCGCTTTGCGCAGCCCCACCTCTGTGGAAGGTCTCCTGCCTCACCCCGCAGCCGGCGCCGGGGGGCTCTGGGGTCAGGCGGGGTTTGGGACCGTTCCGTTACGGCGCAGGGGCTGCTCGCTGCGGCTGGGTTTGAGCCGTTCGGTGTGTAACGCGGGCAGAGCCCACGGTCCCGCGTTTTAACCGGTCCCGGTGAGATGTGTGCTCAGACACCGGGGTTTCCCTAGGGATGGCCTGGGTAGGGGGAGAGAGAACTGTCTTTAAGCACACAGCGGAACTCCGTGCACAGCAGGGCACCGGGAAGCACCGAAATCCCATAGGATCCGAACCCCAGCCTAACCTCACCTAAAAGGGATGAAATCCAGCGGTGAGCCCTGCAGATGCTCCTGCTCTCAATGCCGTGCAATGGGAGCGGGGTTCTCCCCACGGAGCCGCGCTTACGGCAGCCTCTGTCCTTCCGGGAGCCGCCTCCATTCCCCCCGGGATGCCTCTGCGCTGCCAAGGGCCAGCAGCAGAGCAGGGGCTGACACCGCTCAGCACCCCTGCATGCAGCCAGCCTGTCACTGCTGACACAGCACTCCAGCCACGAACCACAGTGACACGGGGGGTAAAGGGACAGCAGCAGCTTGGAGCGGGTGGCATCAGGACCCCCCCGTTGTTTCCACCCGTGGCAATGGGCTCCCTTCAGCCGAACTGAAAACCAGATCCCTCGAGAGCACCCAAGGCACAGCTCCTGCGAAGGGTGCTTGCTGAGGATCTGCACTGACGTGAGCCAACACTGATCGTGGCCACTCAGGAATCCAGGCGCAGAGCTGAGCCCCAGCCCCAGCCCAGCCTGGGGCAGATGGACTGGTTTGAGGTGTTCGGGTGGGAGCCACTGCCCAACGAGCTGTCGCAAAGAGTTGGTTTGTTAAAAATGAGGTTTCGTTACCGAAAGTTTCAGCTTTATAAAATAGCAACTCCCAGGACCAAGCTCGCAGGAGCTTTCTCCTCCTTCCACTGTATTTATGCTGTTTAAAGGAAGCTCCTCCTGAGTCACTCCAGGACAAGGGAAAGCAGTGACTCCTCACTATAATGTCAGTGCAAGGAGCTGCCCATAGCAGCTCTGAGTGCTCACCAGTTCCAGAGCCGTTCCCTGTCCCCAGACAATCACACATTGGTCTCTGCTCTTTGGAGGCTGCGGTAAGAGGACAGCATCAACCTCAGGAACCAGCTTCCTCCTGCCGGCTGGATGGTGGGGGAAGCTGGTTCCAGTCATCCCTGTTTCTCCCTGGCCACCCCTGTGCAGGGTAAAGCAAGCAGAGTGGAGCCTCCCCTGTTTTCGCCGCTGTTGAAGCAGCAAGCTCCCTATGGGAACACCATCTGCCAGCCCCAGCGCCACACGTGTCAGCGCAGGAACAAGATGTTTCACGTTAAATTACTAGGGGCTGACTTGCACATTTGACTGGCATCCAGGTCAGGCAGATGCAGGAGGGATCCCAGCTCATCTCACTGCCTCCACAGCACACGCTGCATCTCCCACCTGGGACTGCCCAGCCCAGGCAGGGCCATAGCCCTGCAGTCCACGCACATGTCCATGCCCTGCCTCTGGCCACAGCACCAGGACTGGTCCCTGGTTCTGGACACACCCACTACAGCCTTTGTCCCCAGACTCCTCTCTTTGGTCTCCAAATCGATTCAAGCTGCTGCTGTTCACATTCTTGGCATCTAGTTCCCACTACATCACCCCTCTCCACGTCCCATCCCCTCTCTGCTATTAGCTAGATATATCCTTGCTTACTCTGCAGTACGCTCTCACCTTCGCTCCGTTGCTGGTTCTTGGCTTCTCTCGCCTCATTGTCTGCACACTTTCTCCCAGCTCTCCTGTGAGACAAGTCAATACAGGCTGATCTGCTATGGCTTGTGACTGCTTTGCCTGGGCACAAACAGCAGAGCACAACCTGAGGGTGCTTAGATAAGGTCACCTCACTGCTGACAGACGGCATGGAAATCTAGAGATCTTGCTGGAGCTTTGTTCCACTGTCTTCCCAAATCAGGGAAGACTTAGTCTTCCAATACCTAAAGGGGGGCTGCAGGAAACCTGGAGAGGGGCTTTGCCCAAGGGCCTGTAGGGACAGGCCAAGGGGAATGGCTTTAACCTGCCAGAGGGGAGACTGAGATGAGCTCTTAGGCAGAAGCTCTTCCCTGGGAGGGTGCTGAGGCGCTGGCACAGGGTGCCCAGAGAAGCTGTGGCTGCCCCATCCCTGGCAGTGCTCAAGGCCAGGTTGGACACAGGGGCTTGGAGCAAGCTGCTCCAGTGGAAGGGGTCCCTGCCCGCGGCAGGGCTTGGAGCTGGAGGAGCTTTAAGGTCCCTTCCAACACAAACCAGGCTGTGCTATCCACACCCCAAGGGTGGCCTGAGCGCTGCTGAGCACAGCCAGGCTGCACAATGTGGTACCCACTCAGTGCCCTTTCAGTAACCGTGGCTAAACCTGATCTAAACAAGCAGCTTACGTAGCCCAGAAAGTGTCACAGGCTGCATCTGCTCTAACGTTTCATTTCTGTGACAACCTGCCCTCGCAGCAGCACAGGGGCTGTGTTTATTCCAGCAGTGTCTGTGATCAGCACTGACTTCATGGCACACACAATTTGCTGGCCCAGTCTCTAACAGGCCTGGGATCTAATTAATCCCTGGCAAGTCCCTCTGAAACAGCAGCGGTGTTGGCCTGCACATGCAGCAGTCGAGACAACTAATTGGAGCCAAATGGTGCAGTGAGATAGGAGGAAGGAACGGCTTCAGGATGGCTTCGCCATGGTGGAGGCTTTTCAGAGTCACAGTGCCAAAGTCAGCCTTTCTGCTCATTAGAAGAGCAGCAGTTGCGCAAGTCTCTTACCCGCCATCAAGAAGTATTTGAATCAGTCCCAGACCAGCCCAAGCTGAGCGGGTCACACACTCCTCAAAGCAGGGTGATACCGACTGTGAGCTCATGAGACAGCAGAGCAGCAGGTTTCCATACCAGCTGTGCCTCCAGGACCTCCTGCCCTGCTCCAGGAGCTCTTCCCTGCAGCCACACAGGAGCTGGCTGGGAGCATCCTCCCACAGACCAAGAGCTGTCTGCAGGAGAGCCTGAGCGAGCTGTGGTTCTCAGGCAGAGCAGATCAGCCTGAACGCGTCACCCTTCCCCAGGCGTTTCACTGAGCAGTCACTTTGTGCCAGGACCTGGAACCCAAACCCCAGCATCACTGAAAGGGAAACACGCTCCTCGCTTTCTGTTCCTACCTGAATTACCCCGCCGCTTCCTGCATCACTTGTTGCCTCCATCATGCAGATAAATTAATCCCCATGCCAGACACGCATGGAGGACGATGTAATTGTATCCCTCTTTGCTCCATGAGGAGTCACAGCCTTTGCTGCATGGGTACAGCGAGGCCTTGTTCTCTGAGGGCATCCTCCACCACCGGCCACAGCACTCCTCTCCCGGCTGCCCAGTGAGCCGGCTGTGGGTACGCACAGGCAAGCAGCAGGAAGCATCCAACAACAGAGCCGCAGCAACCCGGCGCCCAAGCTTTCGTGTTCCTCCTTTCACCCCCATTTTGCTCTGGGTTCCAAGAAAGGGAGCAGGGAGGAAACACGTTGAGGCAGCAGCCTCCGTGCAGCCAGGGTTTACACACTGTGCTCCTGACCCAGGCTGGCCCAGTGCCCAGCGCAGGGGAAAACAAAGCCAGTGCCAGCCTCTGGGGAGCCAAGTCTGACAGGAGCCCGGCTGCCAACTTGGCTGCTCTCGGGTGTCACCAGCGGCTATTGCAGACAGGCACGGAAACAGCTCTGTGCACGGAGCAGCGCCCATGGAGAGCGGCACCCATGGAGAGCAGTGCCCATGGAGAGCGGCGCCCATGGAGAGCGGCGCCCATGGGGAGCGGCGCCCATGGGGAGCGGCGCCCATGGAGAGCAGTGTCCATGGAGAGCAGTGCCCATGGAGAGCGGCGCCCATGGAGAGCGGCGCCCATGGAGAGCGGCACCCATGGAGAGCAGCACCCATGGAGAGCGGCACCCATGGAGAGCAGCACCCATGGAGAGCAGTGCCCATGGAGAGCGGCGCCCATGGAGAGCAGTGTCCATGGAGAGCGGCGCCCATGGAGAGCAGTGCCCATGGAGAGCGGTGCCCATGGAGAGCAGTGCCCATGGAGAGCAGTGCCCATGGAGAGCAGTGCCCATGGAGAGCGGCGCCCATGGAGAGCGGCGCCCATGGAGAGCGGCGTCCATGGAGAGCAGCGTCCATGGAGAGCGGTGCCCATGGAGAGCGGTGCCCATGGAGAGCTGTGCCCATGGAGAGCGGTGCCCATGGAGAGCAGTGCCCATGGAGAGCGGTGCCCATGGAGAGCAGTGCCCATGGAGAGCGGTGCCCATGGAGAGCAGCGCCCATGGAGAGCGGTGCCCATGGAGAGCGGCACCCATGGAGAGCGGCACCCATGGAGAGCAGTGCCCATGAAGAGCGGCACCCATGGAGAGCAGTGCCCATGGAGAGCAGTGCCCATGGAGAGCGGTGCCCATGGAGAGCAGCGCCCATGGAGAGCAGTGCCCATGGAGAGCGGTGCCCATGGAGAGCAGTGCCCATGGAGAGTGGTGCCCATGGAGAGCGGCGCCCATGGAAAGCAGCGCCCATGGAG